AAATAAAGATAGAAGATAGAACACAATTTCACTGAACCTTGTATTTTTTTGTAGCCAAAATTACTTGTCTCTCACTATAAACATCTATTATCTTAGTTTTAATAGATTTTTATAAAAAAATATTATCTTTGCTACATTTATAAGATTCTTAGCTTCTATATATATTTATTAATATCATATCTATACCAATGTATACGATATTTCAATCTATTTTTGTACTATCTTAAGTCTTCAATTTCTTCAACTTGAAATTCTTTATTATTATGTACTTCTACATGGAGCGATGGCATTTGTCTTCTTTTTGGTATATCCACTATCTTATATGGCTCAAAAAGATATACATAGAATATATAATGGATCTTCATAGACTTAGGTAGATGTAATTAATAAGCAACTGAATTGATTTGTTTACAAATAAAAAATTATCTAAGTCTAAGGTAATATAACTTATCACAAGAACAAATAATCTTGATACTATGACAAAGTAATCATACCTTATCACCAACATAGAATGAAGGTTATTCTTTGAAGTAAGTATTTTTATTGATTTTTTTTATTATTCTTGAGCTTTATTATATTGTTCCTTCATTGTTACATGTAGCTCTAAGAAGCATTTTATGAAATCTTCTACTATAGAATTATCTATTTTTAAAAAATTAAAAATATCAAATTATAAATGATAATCATAATTAACATAGAAAGGTATTTGTTGAATAATAAATATATTATATTATTATAAGCAAACTATATTAAAAAAATTATCCAATCATTTTAACTATAGTAAAATAATTGTTCAATCATTTTAATACTAATTAATAGCACATTTCAAATACTAATCTAAAACTTAATTCATAAATTTTTTTTTTCCATTAGTTTGAAGATAGAAAGTCAAAGATAGTTTTATATCGGCCTTCAATATCTTAAAATAATTTCTCTAAAATCTTGATATAAATTGAATCCTTCTATCTAAAAAAATATTCTTTGGTGATCCATGATAGTAATAAATATTATAAAAATAATAATAATTATTCTTTTATATGTGATAGTTTTTGTACATAATACAAAATATGCCATTTTTTTAATACAATCTACTATCACAAATACAAAGCCATTTGAGCTTAAAATCTATAATAAATCCATAGAAACAAAAGATTATAGTTATTTTAATATAAATAATAGATAAAAAATCAATAAGATTGATAGAAACAAATTTACGATCTTGAACAAATATTACATGGTTGTACAAATTTTTTAATTGGCTTTTTCATTTAAAGCCATATGAATCCTATCAATATATCTTAATTGGTGGATTGATCAAAAACATAGATTTAAGTTATTTTACTATAAATATATTGATGTTAAAAAGTCTTTTTGACTATTTAATTATTTATTAGAATTTAGAATTATTTATAAGTTACAAATATATACTATCTAATTAAAAGCTACATGATATCATTTCAATATATACTATCTAACTAAAAGCTACATGATATCATTTTATAGGACCTTCAACATGTATCGAACTTGCAAGACAAGTGTCTTACATATATATCATATGGAAAATTTGTTAGCCTAATTTTCAATCTATCAATTACCTACAAACATGTATAAAGTCAAATCCACATTTGTAAAGCTTCTAAAAATATTTCTACATGTTTCCAAATTTACTTACTTTTACTTACTTCTATCTAACTTTGTACTATAGATAAATATGTATGTTTGCAATAATATTCATGTTCAATTTTTCTTCAATTTAATTTTTGGATTAAATAATTACATTCTACTTTGAATCTTGCAATGTTATGTCTTAACTCAATGATTCTTCATCAATTTTAATAATCATTGCATAGTAGTTTTTAAATTGAATTTTTATTTTTTTTTATTTTTGGCTCATTTAGGTTTTTGATATGAGATTTTTAAAAGTACATGTTTTAGACTAAACAAACAAACTATATCTTTATACATAATTTTTTTATGATAATCAAATAATCTAAAGATTTTTCTACTATAGTCATATTCTATCAACAAACATGTAATTGTCTTTTTTTTTTAATTTATTTCTTTTTTTTAAAAAAATATATAGAAAAAAAATAGCCAAAGATTTTTAATAAACTTACATCTAGTTTTTTGCTACTATTTATTTTTTAGGTGACTATCTAAAATTTTTTATAGTTGGACTTTGATTAATAAAGAAATTGGAAATATTAAAAGTCTCACTCTACAAGTATCTTTATAGTTTTCATTCAAAAATGGTATTTTTTATTTATTCTAATATTCTTTAATTTTTAATTTTAGATATTTTGTTTTATTCTAATGTAAGTACTTAAATTTCTTATCTTTGAATTCTATGAATGTCAAAATAGGTCTTGATTTCTCTTAACATAAATTATTCTTTTCAATGTAATATGAATTTTCTTATTTTTTATCTAATTTCTTATTTCATGATTTCTTTCAAATGTTTAAATTTCTCAAATGTCTTAGATTTTAATTGAATGAAAGATATGTAAGATTTTTTAAAATAATCATTAATAAATACAAAAATATATTTTAATCCTTACAATGATGGTGTAGATAAAGATCTAACTAAATTGACATATAATAATTTTAGATGTAATATAGATAATTTAGATGATGTATAAGTAGTACTTTTTAAAAATCTTTCTTTGTATTGCTTCTTAATTAAACAATCCTTACAAATATCTTTCAAAAATTCTAATCTCGGTTATCTTTATATTTTATCTTTTTTTGACAACTGACAAAGACTAATATCATTTAAATATCTAAAACATTGGTACTACAATTTTATTGATTCTTTACTTTCATTTGAATTTAGAAACGGATTCAAATTAAGAATCATATACAATCCATTGCTTGGATTACATTTATCAATGATTAAAGTTTTTTTTTTCAACATCATTGTTTAAGATCCAATAATTCTTATCACAAAATTTAATTATATATCTTAAATTAATGAAACAACTAAACAAATTAAGCTTCTATTTTAGGATTGGAACATAGAAGGTTTTTAAAAGGTTCATTCCACCATGTAAACATGTGTATAGGGTGGTAGTACCAATATCTACTATTTTATGAACTTTTCTTCTTGTTATATGAATCTTTCGTCTTGTAGTTGTTGTTGAAATAACTTATAAATTTTAGTGAAAGCAACTTCAATATTTTCTTTTATTATTACTCATTAAAATCTCAATCTTCTCTCTTCCTTCAATTATATTGACTTTTGAATTAATATAAAATGAAAATTTGATATTGTGCATGTCTTTATGTTATACAAGCTGATTTTTAAATTATTAGCAGCAATAACAAACTATGTGATTATAGTCTTTGCATTTCTAGCATCAAAATGGAATAGAAGGAGTAGGTCATTGGTATTGTAATGCATTTGGTTGTGCTTATCTAGTGAAACTCTCTTGACTTCTATACAACCTCTTTTTAAAATTATTAGGTCATCTTTTGTAAGCTTTTCTTCTTCTTCTTCTTCCTTGTGTTTGGAGTGAATTAAATTCAGTAAATAGAGCTTCTTCATCTCTAAATTGTTTGTTTTATAGTTCTATTTGGTATGCCTTTGTGAAGAGATTAGATAATACTAATGAAAAATTTGGCAAAATGTTTGATGCAAAAATTGATTGTACCATACCTTCGAAGCTTCAAGAGAGTCCATTGAGTATAAGCTAAGCTAAAGTATTATCAAATATTAGTTGTCCAAGAACAATCAATCTTTTCTTAATATCTCAAGCATTTCTCGAGTATTCTTCTACTAATCCTCCCTCTCTTAGTCTCATGATATATAATTTGATAGATAGCAATAAAAATTAGGATACATTACTTGACTAAAATTTGTTTTGCAATACTACTCAAGCATTGGTTGGATCATCATGCTCAATTACTATATCCTCAACATTGTTATTTATTGACAAAATTTGTATCTTCAAATGTTTTTTTTTTTTAGTTGATAAAAGTATACTTGATGTACTATATTCTTCCAATTGAATTAAAAAGGCTATAAGTAGGGTCTTGGTTTCAACTATTTCTCACATATTCTTGTACCTAAGCAAGACCTTCACATTTAATCTCCATGTATTGTATTTTGCTCCTCCTTCCAACTTGTTCCCTTCTCCTGAAAACACATTCTAACTTTCAGTAACCATGTTAAGTTCTTACAAGTCTGAAGTAATTGGCTAGAGATAGTTTTTACTCCTTTATCAACAATTATCTTACATTGTGAGTACTACTCACCAAGTACACTCAGGATCTCTTAATCTTCCAAGAGCATGGCACACCAAGTGTTCTCTCAAAAGGATTCGGTAGGCTTTGAACTCACTAGCTCCACACTCTGGTCCAGCTCACCTGAGTAGGGCTACATGGCCGAAGAACACAAACGACTCTCAGCAGGCCGGTTCATTGCATCCGGAATCCTAAGCCTAAGAAACTCGTAGCATCAGAAGTGTTGTAGCTGGTCATAACCTATTTGGAGCCAAATATGGCTCGTAACATTACGACGATTACAAATTTAACCGTCTGCCTTCAACGACCATCCGTCCGTACAATTATGTCTAGATATGTCAGTACTGTACAAAGACTTGTGAGACCATGGGACCATCATGGAGACGACGATGTAGTAGCGGCTGAAACCATCGTCGTAAACTTCGCTTTGACTTGGTGACTCAGTTACTTTTCTATTAAAAATAGGCCTAAATTGAGTTTGTCGTAGATGTCACATTCCTTCATATCCACTCATAATCTCAATTAAAAGTTACAGTATCCGAAGAAATTGGTGTTATGTCATTCTTTTTCATAGAACCACAGACCATTTTCAAGGAAATTATTTTAAATTAAACGAAGTGTGCAAAAACAATTCAACACTTAGAATCTTGGGCCCACTTCAAGTCGTGAATGAAAAGAATGCTTGAATTTCCTTATGTGTATATCTGCATCCTTATTTGCAGGTACACCTACGGCGACAGTGCAAGCATAATGAACAATTGAATTATAAATAAAAAGCATAAATTTTTTACTTCTTCCAAGGCATAAAGAAAGCGACCTACACAAGCAATTACCAAAATTGCAAGAAAAGCCAACTGATACAATCTAAGCAGCTTGCTTTTCGGTAGCCTTGCGCTTCTTGGCCTCCTCCACAATGCTGAGCTTGATACCCTTTCCACGGGGAAGAGTGATCCAAGGCTTTGTGCCCTGTCCAATGGTGAACACATTACCCATCCGTGTGGCAAACTGGTTTCCTATGGCATCTGTCACATGAATGATGTCGAAACTACCTTTGTGCTTCTCACGATGATGGATGACACCAATACGCCCTCTGTTTCGCCCACCGGTAACCATCACAATATTACCAATGTCGAACTTAATGAACTCAACAACCTTTCCTGTCTCAAGGTTGATCTTCACTGTGTCGTTAGCCTTGATGAGAGGGTCTGGGTACCTGCCATAGAATACATGTGTTATATTAGCATAACTGACTACACAATGCAAGTCAACGGTAAACACAGTACTAACACAAGACGATAATATTTAATGTTAAAACGACGAAAACAATTTGCAAAATATCGTATACGCTCTCGCAATAATGAAACAATACCTGATGGTGCGACCATCGAAGGTGGTGACATGGGGAACACCCTTGTCTCCGAACTGAGCAGCCCTCACTTTGCAAAGCTTGTACTGCGCTCAAATTAATCGATGGAACGTAAGATGAGAACTCAGATCCCAGCCCTACTACATGAATAGAATAAAAATGAAGCAGAAGAAATGGACTGCAAACACTCAAAACCATAGAATTGGAATGCCGAAACCAGTTCGAAGTTATTAAAACACAAATATTACCTTGGCTTCTTCAGCACTGATGTGGTGAAGGGTAAAACGACCCTTATTATCATACAACAGACGGAAATTCTCGTTGGTCTTGGCAATAGAGATGACATCTGTATTGAGAGCATGAAACGGGTTATCCAGTGCTACGAGACTACGCTTCAAATCGTGTATGAGTAAAAGACGATCAGTCTGCATGACCCAAGTTTATCCCCATACATAAATTCATAAAAACAAACATTCATGATTCCAAAAAGCATATATCTAAAAAGAAACTTTCAATAAGACTGCAAAAAAACTTACCCATGAAACCTGCAGGGTAGCATTTGTCAGTGCGGACCTTGCCATCAATAGAGATGAGGCGCTGCATGACAATGGCTACTACTTCTCGGTAGGTCAATGCATACTTCAGCCTGTTCCTCAACATAACCACCAATGGCAGACATTCCCGCTCCTTGTGGGGTCCAGGAGAGGGCTTGGGGGCCTAAAGTAAAATCAATATCATTAGTGCCTTCTCAACCACGAGAAGTTTGACAAGGCAGTGCTAATTGAAATTAGATTGATTCTGAAAACAGGGATGACCCAAAAAAATCGTATTTTCACAACGGATTACGTATGACTGATCTACAAGTTCAGCTAATTGCAAAAATAATGTAGCTTGCTCCCCACGTAAATCAGTTGCTATTTGAACACCAGAAGGTAGGTGGGCGATTCATTCCACAGAATGCCACCTATAAAAGGATTTTAAAAAATGAGGATGCAGAGATAGGTGGGAAGTCAAGGGCTAGGAACTCACGAAGGCACCACCCAACTTGTCAAGCATCCAATGCTTGGGCGCATTGAGCCTCTTCAGATGCTTCTTCAAACCACGAGCCTAAAACGCACAAGAGAAACAGAACTCAGAACACGACTCAAACTTCCTCATCATCAACCAACTTCAAAACCCTAAACCACCCCCATTTTAAGCTTGCAGGCCTCACCATGGCTCACGAGGTGAAGAAATGGAGGAAAAACCAGTACGCACAAGGAGCTAGAAAATAGGGTTAGAAGAATTAAATCAACGCTTTCAGAGGCTGAAGGAGGGCCAAGAGTACCATGGCGATCGGAGAGGCTGGCACAGCACAGCAACGGCACGGCAGAGCAATCAAGGCCTTGCACCAACAAGACTGAAAGAGAAACCCCTAATGCAATTCGTCTCCCCCTATAGCCCCACAACTGCAAAATTCATTCATCACTAGCAAACTATCGTTCTTAATTTTTAATTTCATTCTCATCTGTTCGTTGGATTTCCATGCAGAAAATCCACTGCCGCGTTTAACCTTTTCCCTTAACATTTAGCACTTCAGAATGGCTTCATCTCAAAATCAGACTGCCGTATAAATGTTGTATCATTCCCTTGCAATTGGTGAGTATCTCTCATGGATAATTTTTAACTAGAACCGCACCAAAACAATCAGATCGCATAGAAAATTTCAAATTCCAATCTCACGAAAGCGAATTATCTTCCAGGAAATCCTTGTTGGTTTGTCTTTTGTGACAGTGGATTGTGGCAGTCGCAATCAACCCTGCTGCGGCAGCCTCGGTGCGTAGCATGAAACAATTTTACCGACCCGCTGATCCTTCTCCAAGCAGCGCACATTTGGCTACCTCAACCTTCTAGTTGTGTACGCGGGATGCTTGCAACGAAGCGTCCACCGCGGTCAACAGTAAAACACAGGGTCTCACAAAATGACGTGATCAATCGTGATTCCAAAACGGCTTGTGAAGGTTAGTCAGAGGCGGACTTGGATCATTCTTCTTGTGAAGCAATGAACATCCCTAGCGCAGTTGCTGACATCACCACATCTAAAAGTAACCTCTGCCTACGGCCACCAAACGCAAGAATGCACATCACAATCTGACAACTACTTCTCTCTTGAGCCCCATTTTTCCTGAAAAATTCAAAGGAATCGTCTAGCAACCTCACACAAGTCTCAAACGAAGGGTGCGGTTGGTTGGATACACGTAACAGGACATGCAAGTTTTGGCTTAGACTCCTCGCAGCTGATAATCTGCAACAAGTTTTCTTTGAATTCCAATGATGGTTTCGAGGAAATCACATATACCATGATGCACCGCGAGAATTTCGGCAGTTGTGACGATTAGGCTCAGCTGTCGACACCTTTTAAAACGTTGTAAAAAAACCTTAATGCTTATTCTTATGCAATTATAGTTATAAATAGATAGTAGAGCAGATAGTAAGAGCGTGTATCTATTGGTATATCTTAACACATTAAAGCCTAGTAAAATGTCTGTCAAATTTGGAACTCGAAATTAGATGCGGTTGAGAAAATATAACCTAATATCGAGGCCTTTGTAATGATTTTTACTTATACAATCTAAAATTAGTAATTGTATTAATCATCATAAAAATTTCACTTCAACTTCCAACAACATACATTTCTAATAACAATCGTATTAAAAATAAATTTTAATAAAATTTTAAACCTCAATATTTCTGTGTAACTAATTATAACCCTATCTTGCTGCATGTCTCAAAGATGCATTAAACTTCATCCAAACGGTAATCTTACCATTAAAATAATTTCTAAAACCCTCCTAAAATAATATAGATATATAAAATATAAAAACTAAGTGGTTCAAAAATGATTTGCATTTTTATTTTTTATTTTTTCCTACAGATGTATGTTGTCTCCATTCATGCCCCGGAAAAGAAAAAACAGGACCACGTTTAGGGTTTCAAGTTCATAAATCTTTATAACCGCAATGACGCTTCTGGGTAGACACAAGCACGACGTTGGCCCTACAACAAGGTTTAGTGCAAGTTGCCATAGAATAAAAAAGAAAACCATGTGGGTACAAACAGAAGAAGGAAGTTGTATGCCATAGACTGCCACGGGAAGGAAGAGAACAAGAAATCCCTTCCCTTGAACAGTTGCTAGGCTTCAAAATTGCTCTGGGGAGCCACATGATGAACTGTGAGATTTGGAAAGCATGATTGAGCCTTTTCTTCACATCGCACTTAAGCCCCGGCAAAACGATTCACCTGCACTGCACCATACTCACAGACGGCTAGACACAGTTAGGAAGGCACGAGGGTGTCGAGAGTCGGCAACTCAACAACAAATGCGAAAGGATTTACTCACTACTGCAATGTCCTCACATCCTTAACAATCCACGCAGCTTGACATATCTTGCTTCATAGGTGCATTAACGGGTTGGGAAGGGTCCGAATGCAAACAAAAGTAGATTTACCACCCAAACAGGGTAAGAAGGATAAAGATAGAACATTTTAGCAGAACGCCGTAAGCCGGACAACGAACGAAATACAATGACCAGGTTCAGATTCAAGGCAAAAACAAAATTCCGACACAATCAACAAGAAATCACACATTAACCTCATGTTGCGGCCGTTTGGAACACACCTTCAGAATCCGGTTCGACCAGAATGCTAAAAGCACGGTACACAAGCTCAGAAGTCACACTGTTGAACGATGCCAAACATCGACAAACAATGCGAGTCATCCGCGACGTAAAGTCTGGGAATCAGAGATGTTTAGGTTTAGGGTTAGTAAGTCCAAACGTTTGTGCCTCGTGTGTAATATATAATATAATAATATATATTATATTATATATTATATATATATATATATATATCGTATTGTAATATATAATGTATATATAATCGTATATATCGGATATATATGTATGTATTATATAATGTGTATATAATGTATATAATCGTATATATATATATATGTATTATATAATGTATAATTTAATGCATCTTTGAGACATGCAGCAAGATAGGGTTATAATTAGTTACACAGAAATATTGAGGTTTAAAATTTTATTAAAATGTATATAATGTATTATACATATATATATATATATATATATATATATATGTATGATAATATCCGATATATACCGTATATATATTATAATACAATATATATATCCATATATATGTATACGATATATATACGTATTATAATATTTAATATATATATATTATAATACATATATATTTATAGTACTATATATATACATATATATTTATAGTACTATATATATATATATATATATAATGTATACAATCTTATGTTATAAAGAATAAAAAATAATTATATAAAATTTTAATATAATTATATCTTTTAATCTTGTTATAATCTGATATCTTATATTATATTCTTCAAATAAAATTTTATTTTATTATTTTTGGATCTTGATATTAAATCAAAATTTTAAATTACAACATAAATAAATGACAATTACCAACAAAATTACAACCACAATTATATTGCTTATACCAAAAAAAAAAAAAAAAAAAAAAAAAAAAAACTTTGATGACTTTAATATATATATATATATATATATATATATAGAGAGAGAGAGAGAGAGAGAGAGAGAGAGAGAAATATAGAAAAGTTTTAAAATAAAATATTATTATTAATATTAATAAAAAAATATTTCTTTAGAAAAATTATTTCAACTAATATAAATCTACCAATTTATAAAAATAACATAAAATAGTATATAATAAAAATAATAAAAATGATTAATCTTTGTTTATTCTTTAAAAATTCATAAATTATCAATTTTATTAACTTTGACATATAGTGACAAACAAAACCGAGTACAAAATCTGAAGTGCCAACTTTCAAGAGCAATTACAGAAATTTCAATGATTGCTTTATAAATCTGAAAGTTACATGGAATAATACACATAGTCTTGTACACATGTACAAAGTTGCACATCAAATTGATAACTAAACATCCTTCTACAAAGTCAAATCAACAACTATGTCTTGTACTCAGTATTGTTCAAAGAAAATCTTCAAACTTCAATATTTAGTCCAATAACCTTTTGCTTCCAAAACAGCTGAAATCCTTCTTGGCATACTTTTGTATAGTTTCTCACAATCTTTTGCATCAAAACTAGGGTAAATACTACAAACATTCTCCCACAATTCTTGAACACCTCTTGGCCTTGGAGTGACTTGGCTTAAACGTTGTTTGAGAAGGACCCAAAAATGTTCCATTGGATTCAAATCTAGAGATTGAGCTGGCCATCGAAGGAGCTGAAATGGCTGTGAAGAGAGCCAAAACTGAACACTTTTTGCTGTATGTTTGGGTTCATTATCATGTTGAAAAACTACCTTAGTAGGATCTAAGTTGTAATTCTGTGTGGTACTTTGCAAGTAGGTTTCTAATTTTTTTTTGTACAAGTGTTGCTCCATTCTACCTTCAATTTGATACCAAGCACCCGGCCCAAAAGCAGTCATACAACCCCAAATCATAATTGAACCACCACCATGTTTGACAGTTTGACTAACATGTTTAGGTCCAGGTCGTTCTCCTTCTCTCAACCAACACCAAGACCTACCATCTGAGTTGATTAGGTTAATCTTTGTCTCATCACTGAAAATAACCCGTCTCCAATCATCAACAGTCCAATTTTTGTATTTATGAGCAAAACTCAACCTTGCAAGAACATGTCTTTTGGCAAGTAGAGGCTTCTTTTGTTGCACACAAGCACCCAAACCAACTTCTCTCAAACCACGCCTCAAGGTGATGTTTCAGAAGTGTTTACCTGTTTTTTCTCGAAGTTGTTTTGCAGCTGCACTTGTCGTTTTGAGACAACCAGCAGTGAGAAGGTGCACACCAAGTCGCTTCTCTTGCTCTCCTAAAACCTTTGGACGTCCTTCTCTTTGCTTTTCTATTTCACCATTAATCTCCCTCCTGAGATGAGCTACTGAAGACTGACTCATTCCAAGTGAGTCTGCAACTTTTCTTGTAGAAACACCACTCCTAAGTTGCACCAATGCTTGGTGCTTCAATGATTCACACAACCGAGGCATAGAGATACAATTGACAAATCAACTTTCACTATAGATAGTACACAACAAGAGCAACACAACAAACAAAAAATGCCCTCAAATCTTGCAACAAGGAGTGTACATTGAAATTTCGAAATTCAGCAAGAAGAAGCAACCAAAACTGAGTACGCACGTCTGTGTGCTTCTACAACACTTTTCTCATAAACCCTACCTCAAATGATAATGAGATTTTTCATCCATGTAGAAGACTGGATGAATACACACAATAAAAAAGTAATTCTATCAATTGACTTATGTGTCAGTTGGAAGGATCAATGAACTATGAGTGTTTAGATTTTGTACTCGGTTTTGTTTGTCACTGTAGTTTCAACTTTGAAATTATAATTGTGTATCATTTGAAATAAAAT